GTGTAAACATAGAACAGGTGGGGGCGGGGTTTAGAACTGTAGGTGTGTTGGATCGTGGTGTAAACATAGAACAGGTGGGGGCGGGGTTTAGAACTGTAGGTGTGTTGGATCGTGGTGTAAACATAGAACAGGTGGGGGCGGGGTTTAGAACTGTAGGTGTGTTGGATCGTGGTGTAAACATAGAACAGGTGGGGGCGGGGTTTAGAACTGTAGGTGTGTTGGATCGTGGTGTAAACATAGAACAGGTGGGGGCGGGGTTTAGAACTGTAGGTGTGTTGGATCGTGGTGTAAACATAGAACAGGTGGGGGCGGGGTTTAGAACTGTAGGTGTGTTGGATCGTGGTGTAAACATAGAACAGGTGGGGGCGGGGTTTAGAACTGTAGGTGTGTTGGATCGTGGTGTAAACATAGAACAGGTGGGGGCGGGGTTTAGAACTGTAGGTGTGTTTTACAGTCAATGCAATGTCCCCATAAAGAATGCTGTACTAGACCAAAAAATGTCTGAATAAACTGAAACTCCAGAAGCAAAATRCACACAAAACAAGAACTAAGATTACAAACTGTTTATTATCAGTCTGTTACCATGGTAACCAGGTGAGAACATGATGGGGCGGAGTCAGTCCTACAATAAGACTTTATTAACAGCAGGAATCAAAACAACACCTGGATTGAAGCTATTTTACATCTTTTACAAAAACTGTGTGTTACAGTTTGTGTTGGTGTGTGTGTGTTACAGTGCGTGTTGGTGTGTGTTACAGTGTGTGTGTCAGCGGTCCAACACGTAGGTCTTGTAGAGGCGGTTCATCTGCTCGAGGAAGATGAAGGTGAGGACGGTGTGAGGGCCAAGGCGAGCGTAGTATGGTGTGAAGCCCTTCCACAGAGAGAAGAAGCCCTCCTTCCCCACCACTCGCACCAACACGTCCTGACACACAGGTGAACACAGGTAAACAACAGGTAAACAAGGTTATATTATCAGATATGATCAGACTAACCTACACATTATCTCACTCCATCCTTTATTATTATTTACTTACATTTTTAATTTAGGTACATTAATTAAAAAACACTTCAACAAAAAAAACTAAAAGTATCTTGTTTAAATTAAAAACAGTGATGTTAATAATAAATAAATCTAGTTTTTATTTTGTTCAGATGTTTTATCAGTTTAAGTCCAACACTCATGTCAAACTGAATAAGATACAAACACAATTCAATTTTCATTGAAATTATTTTAAAATAA